TTGGGGAACTACAGTTTTAATAAAACATTCTGAAGTTAATTTTTATGTCATTCAAAACACATCAAACAATAAACAATAATTATTTTAGTTCAACAGAAGCATATATATTCAATAACCATGACCACTTAAAAATGTCACGGAGGTGACAGATTTCCATCAGAATTACACAACTTAATTCTTGAAAAGATTAAGTGAGAACTTTTCCATTTTTTTGGTCTTCTGGGGAATAACCTTGCAATACTTTTAACCATGCTCAATATTAATACATCCACATACAAGAATCAAACTAGTTTTAATTGCTGACTATTGAGTCGTTGAAGAAACTGGTAAGAAATATATTTAAAAGGCATGAAACTAAACAAACAATTTGCAAGTTAATAAATTTAAATTTTAAGAGAATGGTGAAAGATTTCATTTATTAATGTAAAGGAATTAAATTTCCCACCTGTCTCGTTCAACTGAGTGGCCTGCTCTTTGATTTCTTTTTCTTTCTTTTCCTCAATCTGCGAGTTATCATCATCACTTTTTTCTCGTAATTTTCCACTGCCTTCCGTCACGTTGGACTCGTCAAGAGTCACTGCTGGCATTGTCGGTTGTAGCTGGTTGTAGAAAACTAATAAAGCGAGATCAAAACACCATTTTACGGTTTTTTCGCATTCTACCCTGCCGCAAGCCTTATAAGACAAGGAAATTCACTTAAAGTAAGAAGGGTCGAACGCCGTTAATCAAGAATGTCCAGTATTGCATCAGGCCTTATATTTCGAAGGTCATTTCACCATGACGGATGTATGAAATATAACCTCTCTTTTTGGCCACGTGAAATAAATTTGCATCAGCTTTCGTGAACAACTTTTAAACTCATTCACGCAGACGTTCTTCCCTTCTTTCTATTACTAATAAGTCTTACTAAACTGTCACAGAAGTATGATGACAAAATGACCTTGTCGAGTATGAAAGGCAGCGGGTTAATGTCGTTGAGATCACATCATACGTACTCCTAACTCTCAGCAAACGAATATAACATTTTTTTTATTACCTCTTACCTCTCGGTTGTCAGTTACTCGAGATAACGTGTCAGGAATTACCGTTTGTTATACTACAGTTCAGATACGGGATTCAGCTGTTATGTAAGCCACATCAGCTGCAACACTCGCTTTTCCCACTGATTTCTCAGTCGTGGTATATCAGCTCACCCTCGTGGTCTCCACGCCAGCTCGATCTCTCGTCCACTTTAGGATTACGCAATCGTGGAGGTGTGTCAGCGGTTTAAAAATCCTCTTGTAACAGTCATAGATTATACCGTTTAGTGACTTTATGCAACATCGAAGGCAGACAGAAGAGGACAGCAAAACGCTTCCTTGTACGTGTACTTGTATTTGTATTTACTCCATTCTATAGATAATACATCAGTTGTACAACTACGAGTACATAATGTTAGCAAGAAAATTTAGAATGGAGAAGGTCACATTATAGTAAAACAGATGGGCTCCTGAGTAAAACTAATTATGGCCCTTTAAGGAGATTGACTTTATATTCTTTTATAATTTTGTTATTCATTAAAACGCACAAACACACACACGCACGACGCACGAGTCAGTATTGAGCAAGATAATATTTTTAAGTGACTTTTTGAACAAATTCAGAACAAAGAAACCAACAGGAACTTTTACACGAAAAACTAAATAATTTAGACACACAAAAAGAGGCAACAAATAACACTAAACTGGCCAGCTTCAAAGGACGCGGCCATCATCATAGCTTCCCGCTGACTGACGGTAAGGGACCGGTCATTAAGATCCAACGACGCGGACGACAACGAGGACGTCAAAAAAACAATAGGTTTAATTAGCAAAACAACAACTTCGCACGTGCATCACACTTTTTTGTACATTTCTTTCCCGTTTTTGCACGACTACGACGTGAAAATGCCTAATTTCGCGTTTTATG